TAGGGGTTTAGGCTTTAGGGTTTACGGTTTATGGTTTAGGGTACAGTGTTGTAACGACCATGATTGTGGCATTCAGCTAGCTGTGGCTGTGATACCCTTTGCCAGTATTTGGGTTCACGGTTAAGGGTTTATTATGTCTTCAGGGTCCGCCTGTAGTTATTCTACTCCCCCTAATCCCTCAAGTGCTCGCTCTTTGGACACAGTCTTGTGTGAGTGAAAGCACTTTACATCCGATTTCAAGGCTTAGTATTTTCGGTCGAGCGGTGCTCCTTAGACCCCGAGCCCCACGCCCTAAGCCCTAAGCCTTAAACTCTAGGATTTGCAATACTTGCAAGTTACATGGGTAGTTCTCTAAATAGGGTCCCTTTTTAGGTCCCCAGTATAGTACGGCACCCTTATAGGTTTAAAAAAGTACCCCCGCGAGGGACCCTGATTTAGAAACCTACCCACATGCTGCCGGCCGAGGCCAAGAAAGCCTTGTATCCGAAAGGGTCCGAGCAGGCCATGTTCTGATTCGGTGGGTTCAAGGGTTTAGGGTTTGGGGGTTTAGGGGTTTAGGGTTTGAGGCGGTTTAGGGGTTCAAGCTCACCGCGAGCTGAAGGACTCACTCCATAAGCCATCAACCCGAAGCCCGAAACCCTAAACCCGAAACCCTAAACCCTAAACCCTAAACCCTAAACCCTAAACCCTAAACCCTAAACCCGAAACCCTAAAGTCTAAAGTCTATCTATGAAGCTGTAGCTGGATCGAGAGCACGATGTCCGGTACTTTTCGGAGTTCCGGAGCTTCGGGTTGAAGGATTAGGGTTTAGTTTAGGGATTAGGGTTTAGGGTTTAGGGTTCAGGGTTTAGGGTTTAGGGTTTAGGGTTTAGGGTTTAAAGCTGAAGGGCTTAGATATCATGGGCTTTATAGGGTTGGGGTGTCAGTTGTGAGTTCACACAAAGCCCGCACATGTGGTACAACGGTTTCGGCAAGTAATGTAGGGGTCTTAAAATTGCCTATACTTTTTTGTTTTCTTGTGGGAGGGGGTTCCTTACTATACTTATAGTACAGTATACCCCAAAACCCTATTCTAATTATTCAGGCCCCTACACCCTAAACCCTTACAGTAGCCCTTATAGAACCTTTGTAAACCCTAAACACCCTAAACTCGACAAGCCCAAGCCCGGATCCTTAAAGGCCCTAAGCGGTAGGCGCGAATCTCTGCAAGCCCCAAACCCGATGAGCCCTAAACTCTGAACCCTGTCAGCTCTGAGCCCTAAGCCCTGGACCTAAACCCTAAAACCGAAACCACATGCAGCAGATCCCTAACCCCATACCCTCTTTCAAGAGGTGAGTGGATTCTGCCAGGTCCACTCAGGGCGCGTGTGGAAAGCAAGTGTGATTTGTTCACTTCTCAACAGTGCAAAGGCCAAAGTGAAAGCGCAGGGGGGTAGTGGCAGATACACTTTGGTGTGCGTAGTGCCAAAGCTTCGTTGCCTGCAAACCAACAACACCTTTCTTGAAACCTTCTTGCCTTGCGAACCGATCCTTAGTTTTCCTTGGATTTTGGGCCTTGCAAAAACACCGGACTTTCAAGGAAGAGCACGCGGGCGCCCGGTCGAACATGCCGTGACCTGCACAAGGTGCGAGCATTCATGGCTGTACTTGAATAAGTTGCAGACCATTAAGACTTGTGCCACAAAGCGGAGATGGCGCAGCAGTTTGAGAGGGAACTTTTTGTGGACGCAGACTGCGAGGCCTTGGTGCAGCGGGAGATTGGCCAGACGGCATGGAAGACTTACCGCGGCTTCGCCCACCCAGCAGATCTGTGGCGGTATGGAGAAATGCTGTGCGGTGGCGGGGCCTATGTGGACGTCAAATGTGCGCTGTTGCACCTCTGATCACCCGGTCCCCTTGGGTACTCACCTGAGCTATGGGAGTTCAGAAAATGAGAGATCCGAATATAAACCCTTAGTAAGGGATCCTTACTTAAAGTACCCCTAGGGTTTAGGGTTGAGGGTCTGGGGTTTAAGATCCAGGGTTCAGGGTTTAGGGCACCCGTAAATTTTAAGAATCCCCCGCGCTGCCATATGATGGCTATCAGCTGATCGAACAAACTCCCACTAAAGGAGCTCTAGGAAAGACAATTTAGGGTTTTAGGGTTTAGTATCACTGGGCCCATACAAACACCCCAGTTCCTCAACGCTGAATCTCTATTGCCGCGTCGAGGCCGATTGCATAAACTGCAACCTTCTACCTGAATCTGCCCTGCGTGGAAGACCAAGAATTTACATCGATGAATATCCCTTAGACCCGTGATGGGTTCAGTTCAAGGGGGAAGGCAGAGGATGTAAAAATAAAGTTCCTAAGCCCTGAACCCTAACCCCGAAACCCTAAACCCTAAGCCCTATACCCGAAACCTGACAAAAGTATGGACTCGCCCACAGAGTTGAAGGCATGAACTGAAGGATCGCATCCTGCAGATGGTTCCTGCGTGGTAAGATATGCAACGCCCCGGGAGAGCATCATGTGCGGCTTCCCAACCCTAAGCCACTGAACCCTAAACCCTAAGCCACTAAGCCCTAAACCCTAAACCCTAGACCCTAAAACCTAATTCCTAAACCCTAAGCCACTAAATCCTAAACCCTAGACCCTAAAGCACTAAACCGCTGGGCTCATAACCGGACCAGAGACCCCCCGAGTGCCCTTTAATAGAGCCCTCATGGTCCTTCATTAAGGGTTTAGGGTTTAGGGTTTAGGATAGTAGAGCCCTCATGATCCTAAATTAAGGGTTTAGGGTTTAGGGTTTAGGATAATAGAGCCCTCATGGTCCTTAGTCGTGGGTATTTAGGGTATGATGGAGGGTAGTTGGGGGGTCTAGGGTAGGGTTTAGGGTTTTCTGCCCGTCCAAAGGACCTGCCTGATCAATAGTTAGCCTGGGCTTCGGATAGAAGCCCTAAACCCTAAACCCTAAACCCTAAATCCTAAACCTTAAACCCTAAAGCCTAAACCAGATACCCTCAGGGTCCTGGGCCCCTCGAACACGGACTGTCACTCAAGCGATAAGCCCGTAAAGCCGAAACCACAAGCCCGACACCCCGAACCGCAAGCCGAACACTAAACCCTAAACCCTAAACCCTAAAATCAACCTTACACTCTAAACCCTAAACCTTTGAAAAAGCGCTCTCTAGCCCCTTAAGGCCCTCTAAGAACCTGGATACACCCCCCAGGATTGGAGCCGTCATCTTAGACTAGGGCTTTGGTGTCGATTTCAGCAAAGGGTATACCTGGACCCTCCCTTATTATGGGGTCCCTTATTATGAATTTGTTTATATAAGTCCTTAAAAAGGTAGGATATAGGGTTTAGGGCATGATTATCAGAAGGAGCCCCGTGGAATAGTTTTGCTTGCTACTCAGACCCCCTAGACCCTAAACCCGAATCCCTTTATAAACCCTAAACCCTAGACCCTAAACCCTAAACCATAAACCCTAAACCGTAAACCCTAAACCCTAAACCCTACACCCTAATCCCAAAACCCTAAACTCTAGCCCTAAACCCTAAACGCTAATCTCTTCATCCCCAAAGCCCCCCAAAACCTCTGGAATCCTGCAGCTGGCGTAGGCGCCCGCTGCGCCGAAGGCAAGCAAACTCGAGGAGTCATAGGGTTTAGGGTTTAGGGTTTAGGGTTTAGGGGTTTAGGGTTTAGGGTTTAGGGTTTAGGGCTTAGGGTTTGGGCTTACAGGGAGTATGCTTCAGGGCGTAGGGTTTTGTTTGAGGTTTCACGGTTTAAGGCTTAAGGTTTTGTGGTTTACTGCAACTTATGGTAAGCCTTGTAGATGCGATTATCGTACCAGAAGTATAGCAACCCCTCACTCAAGCCTTAACCTCACAGAGGTGCTTGCAGGGCTTCTTTGGTTGTTGTACGCTGGGGAAAAGATGTCTTAGCTGATGTGATGATATGAATTCGGTAGGTTTTCATGCATTTGAGGGTGTTTAGTTGAGATGGGAGTTCCAAGCGAAGATGGTTCGCAAGACCATGGGGTAAGGGCTGATAGGGTCCAGGGTCGTCGTGGCCTGCCTTTCGGGTGGTGAAGGCAGACACTGCCAGCTTCGGGAGGTTCTACCCGCACTCAAAGCCTCCCGAGCGATAGTAAGTTGGGTTTGGGGTTTACCATCCAAAGACTCGGGTGGTGAGAGCGAGCTGGACGCACAGCGAGAGAGCGTCAGTCTTGCGACTTGTTGGGAGGCCGTGCCTTAAGCGTACGATTGGTACAAATCGAGCACTGCCCAACAGACCGACTGGCTCCATGACGGCAACCACAGCTTCTTTACAGTGCTTGTAAGAGCCTCATAGTTGGTTCATGGTCTCACCCCGTAATTCTGTCGGGTACAGATAACCCTAAACCCTAAACCCTAAACCCTAAACCCTAAACCCTAAACCCTAAACCCTAAACCCTAAACCTAAGAACATTCCGACGAAAAGCAGGGCTCGCGTGGCTTTGAGGAGTTTCTGCTGGATGTTTGGGAACTGCGGCTAGAGTCTAGAGTTGGGAGGGTCGCAGTTTAAGCTAAGGTTGAACCCATGGGCCCCTAACATGGGCCCTTAGGGGATTCTAGGGCCCCTTAAAGGTATATATATATATATATATATATATATATATATATATATATA